AGTGCGGGCACCCCAAACCCAGGGAACCCCGTTTCCAGAGCCCGGAGCTGCCCCTGGGATTTCCTGGGACCCCCCGGGGGTTTTGGGGTGCCCTGGGGGTTCTCCTGGGTAGTTTCGGGTTCCCCTGGGTGTTTTGGGGTGCCCGCGGTTTTTGGGGTGTTCTGGGTTACCCCGTGGTGTTTTTAGGGAGGTCCCCCCTGGATTTCGGGGTGCCCTCGTGGTGTTGGGGTGTCGTGGGGTTTCCCTGGGGTTTTGGGATCTCTCATGGGGTTTTGGGGATCTCCCCGTTGCTCTGGGGGGACCCCTGCAAGTTTGGGGTGTCTCCCACAGAGTTTTGGGAGCTTTAGAAGTGTCCTCTTGGTTTTGGGGTGTCCCCCTGGGTACTTGAGGGGATTTCAGGGTGCTCCCCAGTGTCTGGGGGGTTTTGGGGTGCCCTCTTGTTGTGTGGGGTATTTGGGGGGTGCCCACCGTGGTGTGTGGGGTATTTGGGGGGTGTCCCCCCCCGTTTTTGGGGTGCCCACCGTGGTGTGTGGGGTATTTTTGGGGCGTCCCCCGTGGCGTGTGGGGTATTTTTGGGGTACCCACCGTGGTGTGTGGGGTATTTGGGGGGTGTCCCCCCCCGTGTTTGGGGTGTTTTTGGGGTGCCCACCGTGCCCCCCCAGCGCCCGATCGTGGAGTTTGCGCTCGAGGACCGGCGGAAGCTGCGGCTGCGGGAGCAGCGCATCCAGCGGGGGCTGGTACGGACCCCCTGACCTGTGACCCCTGACCCCTGTGACCCCTGACCCCTGTGACCCCTGGGGCTTTCAGTGATGACCCCAGCCCTGACCCCACGCTGACCCCACACTGACCCCACACTGACCCCAGCCCTGACCCCACACTGGCCCCACCCTGACCCCACACTGACCCCACACTGACCCCACACTGACCCCAGCCCTGACCCCACACTGGCCCCACCCTGACCCCACACTGACCCCACACTGACCCCACACTGACCCCAGCCCTGACCCCACGCTGACCCCACGCTGACCCCAGCCCTGACCCCACACTGACCCACACTGACCCCAGCCCTGACCCCAGCACTGACCCCACACTGACCCCACACTGACCCACACTGACCCCAGCCCTGACCCCGCCCTGACCCCAGCCCTGACCCCAGCTCTGACCCCACACTGACCCCAGCCCTGACCCCAGCCCTGACCCCACACTGACCCCAGCCCTGACCCCAGCCCTGACCCCACGCTGACCCCACACTGACCCCAGCCCTGACCCCAGCCCTGACCCCAGCCCTGACCCCACACTGACCCCACACTGACCCCAGCCCTGACCCCACGCTGACCCCACACTGACCCCACACTGACCCCACACTGACCCCAGCCCTGACCCCACGCTGACCCCACACTGACCCACACTGACCCCAGCCCTGACCCCACACTGACCCCAGCCCTGACCCCACGCTGACCCCACACTGACCCCACACTGACCCCACACTGACCCACACTGACCCCAGCCCTGACCCCACACTGACCCCACACTGACCCCACACTGACCCCACACTGACCCACACTGACCCCAGCCCTGACCCCAGCACTGACCCCACACTGACCCCACACTGACCCACACTGACCCCAGCCCTGACCCCGCCCTGACCCCAGCCCTGACCCCAGCTCTGACCCCAGCCCTGACCCCAGCCCTGACCCCACGCTGACCCCACACTGACCCCAGCCCTGACCCCAGCCCTGACCCCAGCCCTGACCCCACACTGACCCCACGCTGACCCCAGCCCTGACCCCACGCTGACCCCACACTGACCCCAGCCCTGACCCCACACTGACCCACACTGACCCCACACTGACCCCACACTGACCCCACACTGACCCCACACTGACCCCAGCCCTGACCCCAGCACTGACCCCACACTGACCCCACACTGACCCACACTGACCCCAGCCCTGACCCCACACTGACCCCAGCCCTGACCCCAGCTCTGACCCCACACTGACCCCAGCCCTGACCCCAGCCCTGACCCCACACTGACCCCACACTGACCCCAGCCCTGACCCCACGCTGACCCCACACTGACCCCACACTGACCCCAGCCCTGACCCCAGCCCTGACCCCACACTGACCCCACACTGACCCCAGCCCTGACCCCACGCTGACCCCACACTGACCCCACACTGACCCCAGCCCTGACCCCACACTGACCCCACACTGACCCCACACTGACCCCACACTGACCCCAGCCCTGACCCCACGCTGACTCCACACTGACCCCACGCTGACCCCAGCCCTGACCCCACACTGACCCCACACTGACCCCAGCCCTGACCCCACACTGACCCCACACTGACCCCAGCCCTGACCCCACGCTGACCCCACACTGACCCCAGCCCTGACCCCACGGTGACCCCACACTGACCCCACACTGACCCCACACTGACCCCAGCCCTGACCCCACGCTGACCCCACACTGACCCCAGCCCTGACCCCACACTGACCCCACACTGACCCCACACTGGCCCCACCCTGACCCCACCCTGACCCCACCTTTCCCCACAGCTCAAGGCCAAGGCCAAGGCGGCTGCAGGAGCCCCAGAGGGTCCCCAGGGAGCCCCGGACCCCCCCAAGGAGCACCCAGCGCCCCCCAAGGGGCACCCAGCGCCCCCCAAGGCACAGGCAGCCCCCCCCGCGGGCTCGGGGGGCCCCCCGGCCGCCCCCCAGCCCCCCTGCGGGACCCCCTGGGCCGGGTTCCGCACGCAGGGCCCGGGGCTCCGGGGGGCTCCCGGCACCAAGGTGCTGGCCCTGCCCTCCCACCGCGGGCCCAAGATCAGGTGAGGGGGGCCCTGTGCCCCTGGGCTTGGCCCTTTGCTGCCCTTCGCCCTCAGCGTTCTCCCCATTCCCATTTCCCCTTTCTATTTCCCCTTTGCTCCTTTCACCCTCAGTGTTCTCCCCATTTCCCTTTCCTTTCTCCCCTTTTTATTTCCCCACGTGTTCCCTTTTTCCACCCTTCCCTCTTCCTCTCCTTCCCCCCTTCCACCCCTTCTACCTCCCATTCTTTCATTTCTCCTCTTTTCTCCCCCCTTTTTTCTCTCATTTCCCTTCCCTTTCCCCCTTCCCCTTTCCCTTCCCCTTTTCCACCCTTCCTTTTTCCTTTCCCCCTTCCACCCCTTTTTGAACCTCCCATTCCCTCATTTCTCCCCCTTTTCCTCCCCCTCCTTTTCTCTCTCATTTCTCTTTATTTTCCTTCTCTTTTCCCTCCATTTTTTCCCCTTTTCTGCCCCATTTTCCCTCCCTTCCCCATCCCCATTCCCACCCCATTTCCTCCCTTTTCCCTCTCTTCTCTCCCCTCTTTACCCCAAAGCTTTTATCCTTTCCCTCCCCATTTCCTTCCCCCCATTTCCTTCCCCCCTCCCGGGTGTCTCTGCCCCTCGGGGCACCCCGGGGTCTCCCTCACTTCCCCCTTTTCCCAATTTCCCCTTTTCCCCCCAGGAAACGGGACAAGGGCAAGAAGGCTCAGCCGCCCCCCAAGCCCCCCAAAGCCCCCAAGGCCTCTCGGCGGCGGGAGAAGCTGCGGGTGCCCCCTCCCCAGGTAGGCATTTGGGGTCCATCCCCGGGAATTGGGGCCCCCCAGCCCCCCGGGGTTTTGGGGTCCCCCTGACCCCCCGTGTGCCCCCAGGGCCAGCGGCGGCGCCGGGGGGGCCCCGGGGGGGCCGAGGCGCGCTTCCAGGAGCTGGTGGAGAGGTACAAGAGGAAGATTTTGGGGAGCGACCCCCCCACGGCCCGGGGGGGAAAGTGGTTCGAGAGCTGAGGCTCCCCCAGCACCCCCCCCGGCACCCCAAAACCCCCTGGGGGTGCCGGGGGTCCCACACCCCACAGGGGGGTTTGGGGCGCTGCCCCCACGCGCTCTGGGGGGGGGCTGGGGGTGGGACCCTGCCCTGGGTCCCTCCTGGCTGCCCCCAGGGTTTGGGGGGGCTCGCCCCCCGTGGCTCTGTGTCTTCCTGGGTTGTAATAAAAATGGGTTTTAATAAAAATGGACTTTTTGAGGGAAATTTGGGCTCTCGATGCCGCCCCCCACCTCGGGGACCCCAAAACATCTCCCGGGGCTGGGGGGCAGGGAGGGGGGCTCGAGACCCCCAGGGGGGATCGGGGAGGGGATCCCATGAGTTTCGGGTCCCGTGAGTCCCCCCCGTGTGTGACACGCCCTGTCCCTGTCTCCCCTCCCTGTCCCCTTTGTCCCGCTGTTCCTCTCTCCCTGTCCCCGTCCCTTTCCCCTGTCCTGGGGGCCCAGCCCCCCCCGTGTCCCCAGCCTGGGTCACACCGGGCTGGGGGGTGGCAGAGCCACCAGCGACGCATCAGCTGCCACTGAGTCACGGGCGCGTCCCCGTGTCACCCCTGCCCTGGGGGCCGGCACATCCCAGGGCCCCACTGTCCCTTGTCCCCAGGTGCCCCCGTGTCCCGGGGGTCCCTTGGCCCCGTGTGGCCGCTGTCCCAAACGTCCCTTGTCCCCAGGGGTCCCATATCCCTGCAGTGTCCCTTGTCCCCAGGGGTGTCCCTTGTGCCCAGGGGTGTCCCTTGTACCCAGGTGCCCCCGTGACACTGTGGATCCCGTTTCTCAGGGAAGTCCCTTGTCCCCTTGTGGCTGATGTCCCCAGGGCTCCCATGTCCCAGAGGTGTCCCTTGTCCCAGGGGTGTCCCTTGTCCCCAGGGCTCCCTTGTCCCCAGGGCTCCCATGTCCCCAGGGGTTTCCCTTGTCCCCAGGGTTGTCCCTTGTCCCCAGAGTCATCAGAGACACGCCTGAGGCTGCTGGAAAAGGGGCTTTAAGTTAAATAAATTAATAATAATAGTAGCAGTAATAACAATAACAGTAATGTAGAAAAAGGTGCTGGCAGCAGCTGGAGTCGCTCCGGTGCCCGGGGCCACTCGTGGTGTCCCCAGTGAGCTCCTGGTCCTGCCTGTGGGTCCTGCTGAGCCCCGCCGAGGTCCCGGCGGTGTCCGGGGGTCCCGGGGGTCCCTAGCACGCGGGGACCCCCTCGAGGCGGGCGGCGACGCCGTCCAGGCAGCCGCGGAGCCGCGCCAGGGCCACCCCGGCCAGCGTGTGCGGGGCCTCGGGGTGCGGGCCGGGGGCCGCGGGGGGCGCGGGGGGCGCGGGGCAGCCCAGCAGCGCGCCCAGCACGCCCAGCAGGCTGCGCAGGTTCTCCAGGTCGTTGCTCACCTGCGCCAGGCGCGCGTCGGGCCCGGGCAGCGCCGCCAGCAGCCGCTGGAACAGCTGGAGCCGCTGCGCCGCCCAGCCCAGCCCCGGGGGCGGCCCCCCGTCCGGGACCCCCCCCTCCGGGACCCCCTCCAGGCCCGAGATGCGCAGGGTCAGCGGGAACAGCTGGGGGACACACGGGCGGGGGGCGTCAGGGCGGGGGGGGACACCCGGCCAGCCTTGGGAACCCCCCTGGGCACCCCCGTTTGAGGCACAGAGCCCCCCCAGCTATGGCTGTCCCTGCTTGGGGACCCCAACCCTCGGGGGACAGACCCTGGACCCCCTCCCTGGAGGTTCAGACCCCCAGACCCCATCCCTGGGGTGTGCAGACCCCAAATCCCGCCCTGACCCCATCCCTGAGGGTGCAGACCCTCAGATCTCCCCCAGACCCCATCCCTGGGTGTGCAGACCCTCAGATCCCCCCCAGACCCCATCCCTGAGGGTGCAGACCCTCAGATCTCCCCCAGACCCCATCCCTGGGTGTGCAGACCCCAAGTCCCGCCCAGACCCCATCCCTGGGGTGCCCGATTTGGGGTCAGATCCCCCACACCCACTCAGCCCCAGGCGCTCCTTCCTGGGGACCCCCCAAATCTGAGCACGGAGTCCACCCCCTGGAGACCCCACCCCACTTTGGAGAACAGGATCCCTTCACAGTGAGGACCAGCCCCCCAGTCTGGGGCACGTCCCCCCACAGTGTCCGCCAGTCCCCCAGCCCCTCCCGGGTGTCCCAGCTGTGTCACAGCCCCAGCCCCCCCCCCGCGGTGTCCCCGGTGTCACCTGGAGCTGCTGCAGGCGCGTGCTCAGGGTCCGGGTCAGGGCCCGCGCGTCCGCCCGGACCCTCTCGAGCCGCACGGGGCGACCCCCGCCCACCGGCACCGCCACCGCCAGGCACAGCAGCGCGCACAGCGACGCGCCGGGACCCCGCATCCCGCCCGCGGCCTCTGCGGAGGGGGGACACGGCTGTCACCCAAACCCCCGGGTCACCCCCGCGCCGGGGCAGCGCCGGTGGCACCGGGACAGAGCGCGGGGACACGGGGCGCTCGGCACGGTGGCACCGTGTCCCTGTTGGCACACGGGGCGCTCGGCACGGTGGCACCGTGTCCCCGCGGGCACGTGCGCCCGGGCCGTGTCCCTGACGCCTTCCCGGAGCCCTTTGGCAGCTGTCACCAGCGCCACCACCGCGGCCTGGCCCTGACCACGCGGGGACAGCGACAGTGACAGTAACAGTGACAGTGACAGTGACAGAGCGGGCTCGGAGCGGGGACGGGAGGGACACGGTGGCGTTGGGTCCCCGGGGCTGTGTCACCTCCCTGGGAGCGCGGGATGGACACTGGGGGGACCTTGTCACCCACAGCTCGGGGACGGGGAGACGCGGGGACACGGGTGACAGGGATGGGGGGGACACAGGGATGGGGGGACACGGAGGACCTGGGGTGCAGAGGACAGGGGGACACGGGTGACACAGGAACGGGGGGCACACGGGAGGGGGGGACACAGGGATGGGGGAACACGGGGCTGTGCCGGTGACACGGGGACAGGGGGACACCGAGGGGACGCGGGGACAGTGCCACTCACCGGAGCCTCGCACGCCCTCGCTGAGCCTGGAACGAGACGGTGCCGGTGACGGAGGGACACGGGGACCCCGCCGGTGCCACCAGCCCACCGGCCGGGGCGGGGGGGCCCGCGGGCCCCTGGGGCACCCCCGGTGTCCCCGCGGGCCGGGGGACACGGCCGGGGGCACTGCCACCACCTCGGGGACAGCAGGGATGGGGGGACAATGACGGGGACAAGGGGGTGCCCAGAGCCCCTGGGGGCTTCGGTGCCAGCCAGGCCCGGGACAGCGAACCCGCAGGTCCCTGGGGAGGGGGCGACACTGGGGACCCCCGGGGGTGACACAGCCCGGGACCCCCGGGGTGAGGGGACCGGGGGGGGATACCCTGGGGTGGGGGTTCCTGGGAGGGGCTGGGGTGTCCCTGAGCACCTGGGGTGTCCATATGGGATTATGGGGCTTGGGGTGTCCCTATGGGTGTTTGGGGTGTCCCTGAGCACCTGGGGGTGTCTCTCCGGGGGGTTTTTGGGGTGTCCCTATGGGTGTTTGGTGTGTTCCTATGGGGGGTTTGGGGTGTCCCTCCGGGGGGGTTTTTGGGGTCCCTCCGGGGTTCGGGGTCGGGCTCACCTGGTGGTCCCGCGGGTCCCGTCGCTCGCGGCCGTGGCTCCATCGCGCCGCCCCCGTTTATAGCGCGGGGCCGCTCCCGGAGCGCTGCCCGCCCCCCCCGGGCCGCCCCCCCGGCCGGACACGGCCCGAGCACGCGGGGGGGCCGGGGCGCCGGCAGGGGGTCCCGAGGCGGGAGGGGGCGGGGGTCCCGGGGTGGGCGGGGACACCGAGGGGGCTCGGGGGGGTCCCGGCCTCCCATTGCCCCCCCAGTCCCACCCCCCCGCGCATACGTGCCCAGGTGAGCGCAGCCCCGCGGTGACACATGCCCCGCGCGCCGTGACCGCGCACAGGCGCCCGTGTCCCCCCCGTGTCCCCCCCGTGTCACCCCGTGTCCCCATAACCCCGCTCTGTATCCGCCTTTGTCCCCCCCCGTGTCCCCGCGTGTGGCACTCACACACCTGGCACGGGATGGGGACACAACAGGGACAGCAGCGGTGTCCTCAAGGGTCCCAGGTGTCCCCCAGGTGTCCCCAGGAGCCCCCAGACCCAGGTCCCCCCACACGGGGACACCGCCAGGGTGACACGAGGGGGTGGGGGCGCTCTGTCGGGGACACGGGTGACCCCCGCCCTGTCACTGGGGGGTTCCTGTCCCCGCCTGTCCCTGTCACCCCGGCCCGGGTGTCCCCAGAGGGAGGGCTGTCCCCGCGGGGGTCCCCGCGCAGGTGACGCCGCCGTTGGTGCCACCACGGTGGTGACACCGGGCAAAGAGCGCGGTGGCCCTGCCGGGAAGGGCGGCGGTGACACCGGTGACACCAGTGCCCGGCAGCCGCTGGCAGCGCCCCGCGGCTCTGGGGACACGCACGGTGCCAGCACGGTGACCCGCGTGACGTCACGGCTGTCCCCTCCCACCTGGCATCCCTCCTTCCCCGCTCCCCGTCCTCTCTGCCAGCGCCCCGTGTGTCCCCAAGGGGTCCCGGAGCCCTGTCCCGCATGTCCCCCATGTCCCCATCCCTGTCCCCATCCTGTCCCGCTCCCCGTCCTCTCTGCCAGCACCTCTTGTGTCCCCAAACCTGTCCCAGCGCCCTGTCCCCGCTGTCCCGCAGGTCCCCATCCCTGTCCCCATCCCTGTCCCCATCCCGTCCCTGTCACCGAGTGTCCCCCGGGGATGGCTCGGCCACCGGGAGCCCTTGGGCCCCTCCCCCGTCACTGGGCAGCGATGGGGACCCAAACTGGGAGCACTGGGACCTGTTGTGCCCCCCCCGCCCCCGGCTTGGTGTCCCCCCGGCCCCCCCAGTGTCGCCTCCCCCCGTGCTGGGTGTCCCCAGTGTCACCCCCCGGATGTCCCCAGCCGTGCCAGGAGCTGCGGTGGCCTCGTGTCCCCATTCCTGCTGTCCCTCCAGCCCAGCACTGTCCCCCCGTGTCCCCGCTGTCCCCCCCGTGTCCCCGCTGTCCCCTCACTGTCCCTCTGTGTCCCCGCTGTCCCCTCGTGTCCCGCTGTCCCCTCGCTCTCGCCCCTAGCACTGTCCCCGCTGTCCCCCCGTGTCCCCGCTGTCCCCCCGTGTCCCTGCTGTCCCCCGCTGTCCCCGCACTCACCTGGCTCCCGCTGGCTCGGCCCCCCGCGGATGCTTTTTGGGGTAAGGGCTTCCTGGCTGGGGAGGGACAGCAAGCCCAGACCGCAAAAAGACCCGAGAGGGACAGGGACGGTGGCCCCCGGTGGCACCGCGGTGACGAGGAGGGACGGGGACACGGGAGCCCGGGGGACGGGACTGAGGTGGGACACGGCCCCCACCAGCCCCGGGCTGTCCCCGTGCTGGGGGGACAGGGGACACTGCCACCCACCCCGCGTGCCACCCCCGCGTGCCACAGGTCACCCGCCATGTGCCACCTGTCACGTGTGCGCTGCCACGGCCCTGGCACCCGTGAGAGGTGGCACAGAGGGACAGGGATGTGCCACACAGTGATGGGGACAGGGCACAGCACCCTGGGGATGTGGCACAGAGGGATGGGTGTGACAGAGGGACAGGGATGTGGCATGGAGTGACAGGGACATGGCACCGAGTGATGGGGATGTGGCACGGCCCAGGGGGGACATGGGACAGCGTGGTGGAGATGTGGCTGTGATGGGGATGGCACAGAATGGCAGGGATGTGGCACAGAGGGACAGGGACGTGGCACAGAGTGAGGTGACGTGGCACAGAGGGACATGAGTGTGGCACAGAGTGACATGATGTGGCACAGAGTGACACGGATGTGGCACAGACCCACGGGGACATGGCGCAGAGCGATGGTGACATTGCACAGTGAGGAGACATGCACAGAGCAATGCTGATGTGACACAGAGTGATGGGGACACAGAACAGACACTGGGGACATGGCACAGAGTGACATTACCATGGCACAAAGAGATGGTGGCACGGCACAGAGCGATGGTGGCACAGGACAGAGCAGTGCCACCAACTCCTACCAGCACATCCTGAGTGTCCCCAGGCTCCTGTCCCTTGGCCACCAAAGCACCCGGAGGTGGCAGGAGGCCACCAGAGGAGCCAGTCCTTGGTGTCACCAGTGGAGCCATTGCTCGGTGTCACCGTGGCTGCCAGGTCTGTGTGTCCCCCAGCACTGCAGGGACGTGGCCCGTGGCCGATCCTGCCCTCGGTGGCACTGGCTGGGTGGCAGTGCCCAGTTCTGGGGTGTCCGAGCCGTGTCCCAGGGTGGTGACAGGACAAGCCTGAAGCTCCATGGCCGGGCGGTGTCCCCATGGCCCCGTGGTCACTCGGTGGCTCTGTGGATGGCCGCTGTCCCCATGGTTGGTCGCTGTCCCCATGGTCACTCCGGGGCTCTGCTGCCAGTCCATGGCGATGTCCCCAGCTCGGGTCCCGGTGTCCCCGAGGTCCTCTGTGGGTCTCCCCCGCTGGTGGCACTCCAGGATCCCAGGGCAGCTCCAGGGCTGGTGCCACCTGAGGTGCCACCCCAGGGACAGCAGGAAGCGGCTCCGAGGACACCACTGATGGCTCCTCACCGACGTCACCTGGGCTGGGCTGAGGTGCCACCGTCACCTGCCAGCAGTGAACGTGTCCCTGCTCCAGCCCACGTCATCCTCACCCCGTGATCCTGCTCCGCCCCGTGTCCCTGTCCCCCTCCATGTCCCCGTCCCCATCCCACATCCGCTGCCCCAGCCCATGTCCCTGTTCCCACCCCATGTCCCCATCTCCATGGCACTGTCCCCATCCATGTCCCTGTCCCCACCACAGGTCCCCTCTCCCACCCTGTCCCCACCCTGCAGCCCCAGCAGGCCGGTGACAGGGACGGTGACACTCTGCTGGCTGCCACCCCCATCCCTGTGTCCCCCCGGGCCAGCTCCAGCCAGAGTGGGACAGGCTGGGGGGACACGGCCAAGGCCACACTGCCCTGTCACCCCTCGGTCCCGGGGGACACCCCTGTCACCCCCCAATCCTGAGGGGACACCCCTGTCACCGCCTGGTGCCGGGAGCCCCGTTTGGAGGATGAAGGGGACACAGGGGAGTGTGTCCATCCCTTGGTGGCGGTGCCGGTGGGACCTGGGGGTGGCTCCCCTCACCCGGGGGTCCCCCAGAGCTGGGGAGGGGCCCAGAGGGGACGGGGGGGACGCAGAGGGCCCTGAGCGGTGCCAGCCCCGCGGGTGACAGCACGGGGACAGTGACGGTGGCAGTGGCGTGAGTGGCACCGACCTTTCCGGATCTGCCAGGGCCGTTTGGGGGTCCCTGGTGGGGAGGGGGAGGGCGGTGTGACCCCCCCGGTGGCAGCTGGGGCCGAGGGGACGTGGGGGGGGCAGGGAGGGGCCCGGGGGTGTCACGGGGATGGGGAGGGGGCTGTGGGTGCAGGGGGGCACCCCCGGGTCAGCACATGGGGGGTGGTCCTGGGGGGTGGCACTGGGGGGTCCCGGGCCGTGGGAGGAGGGACACGGCCGGGGGGGCCGGGACAGAGCGGGGGGGTCACGGGCTGGGGCGGGGGCTCCCGCGGGTCCGGGGGTCCCGGGGGGCTGCAGAGCGGGGCCCGGGGACTCCGGGGAGCGGGGACGGGGCTCGGGCTCCCGGGGGTCCCGGGGCGCTCGGCGGGGCCCCCCCCGTGCTGTGCTCGGGGCCGGCAGGGCGGGGGTCCCTGGGGTGGGTTGGGGGGGGTCCCGGGAGTCCCGGGGGGGATCCCGGGGTGGGGGGGTCCCCTCGGTCGGGGCGGGGGCACAGGAGGATCCCGACCCCCCCCGGCCCCTCGGTCCTACCTGGAGCCGGAGCCGCGGCCGCGCTGCGCCGGGGGCGGGCCCGGGGGGTCCCGGGGGGGTCCCGGAAGGTCCCGGGGGGTCCCGGGGGTCCCGGGGTGCGGGGGGGCCCCGCGGCGGCCGCGCGCGCCCCGGCGGCGGCGATTGACCCGCATTGACGTCACTGCGTCATCAGGGTTCCCCTGGAAACACGCGGGGGCTAAAAATAGCCCGGGGGGGGGCGGGGGGCGGGGCGGGGGGCGGCCCCCTCCCCCGCGTCTGCCGCTATTCTGGGGACACGGCGACAAATATAGCGCGGGAGGCCACGCCCGGCACGGGGACACCCCCGCGGGGGGGCTGCGGGACACGGGCGGGCACCGGGACACCCGGGGGGCACGGGGGGACGGACACGGGGACGGACAGACAGACCACGGGGACACGGGGACAGCGACAGGGACGGACGGACACCCCGCGGGGGCACGGGGACACCGACACGGGGACAGCGACAGGGACAGGGACGGGGACACGGACACGGGGACAGCGACAGGGACGGACAGACACCCCATGATGGGGACGGACACG